CGCAACGCGTACTCTCGAAACCAACGTGGACTCACGTAGGTGTACGTCCTTCTTTCACTCCTGAGTGGAAGAGGCCAGGAGCTCCCCAAGCATCCGAATGCTCCAACTGTTTCGAGGCGTGGGCCCCCGAGGTCTGGACCACTTCCCCAGGGGTGGTTCTTCGTCCTGAGTCCTTTCTGGACGCTCCCGAAGCCCAGCGAGGGCCCCAGGAGGCCGAGATATCAACGAAAAACCGCCCCGTCGGGCCGGCTGTTCGTCCTGGGCCGTTTTTTGACGCTCCCGAGGCCCAGCGAGGGCCCCCGAAGGCCGAGATCTCAGCGGACAGCCGCCCGGTCGGGCCGGCTGTTCGCCTCGAGTCGTTTCGTTGACGGCCCCGAGGCCCCTGGCGAGGGCCCCCCGAGGCCGAGATATCAGCGAAAAGAACAGCCCGCTCCAACTTCTCGGGAGCTTCGGATCTCTGGGTCTGGGGCCGCGGATCGAACAACCATATCGGAGGATGCCTGGCAAGGATCGGGGGGGGGCCTCCAGAGGCCGCCGGAGACCTCCCGAGACTCCCGTGAGATTCGAAGTTGCGAACGACAACATCGCGATAAATCATGACAGGAGCTACAGGCCCCATCTTCCTGCGGTGTTTTTCGAACCAGGATGTGAGGGTCTGGGAGCATCTGGTAGAGGAACAAACAGTGACATAACCGCAAAAACTCTGAGGTCTGCGCGGAGTCATCGGATCGGCGCCAGAGGCGCCGCCGGGGTGCCCCAGCGCCGATCCGAGGAATCCGCGCGGATCTCCGAATTCGTCTGTTTATGCCACTGTTTGACCAGCACCCTGGGCCACAGCGAAAGGTGCAAAAAAAGACGGGGCCACCCACGGCTAATGAACGGACGTGCGCGAAGTATGCAAGTGGCAGGAAACATTCGAGGACCCCGGATCACGAGCCATCTGGATTGTGACCCGGGGCGGCAGCAAGGCTCACCGCCAAGAGGGCGCACGCAGCGGTCTGGGGCCCACGGTCCGCCTGCGCTGACTTCGGGCCCGCGATGCTTTATGGGCGGTGTTGCAAGTAAGGCAGAAGTTCGTCCTACTTTGATGTCGATGTCCGCCCTATTTTCCTGGACCCCTTCGAACCATGAACGACGGGAGGTGTTTCCGGGGGGGCCCGCGCCGGGCCCCGGGGCCGCAAAAAACGACTCAGGATGAACAGCCGGTCCTGAGGAATGAGTCGAGACCCCTGGGGGTCGATGTCCGCCCAACCCTTAGATCCTGGCGCCTCAAATATTTCGAGCCAAGCGTCTTCGCCTGGTTTCAGGCCCCGGGACCCTCAGCTCGAAAAATGGTACCGAAAGATGGGGTCTAGGGCTCCACTCGCGATGTTCTACAATGTTTCATTTTTGTCCCAGCCATCCTGAGGTGTTGGGTCCTCGTTCTGAAGAGACAGCTCCCCGCGTCTGTTCTCCTCTTCTCTCCTATGCCCTCCTCCTCCTCCTCCTCCGCCTCCTCCTCCGCTTCTTCTGTTCCTTGCCCTTATAAATAATTCCTCTCTGTCGCACCCCGAGGCCAGTCGAAAGGGCGGGCTGGGCTTCTGCCTGAGACTTCCTCACCGCTCATGACCCTGAGACTTCTTCCCTCATCAGCTTCACAGATGGAGGGCCAGTCGCTCCCAAAATGTGGCTCTCGCCTTAGCGCTGCGCAAATTCGTCTTACAAGTTTGAAAGAGCTCAAGGATTGAGGGCGGGTCGTTGTCAAAATGTGGCTCTCGCCTTAGCGCCGCGCACACTCGCCTTTACAACTTGCAAGAGCTTCACGGATTAAGGGCGCGCCGTAAATGTGGCTCTCGCCTTAGCGCCGCGCACATTCTTGACAAAAAATGTAAGAACTTCACGGATTGAGCCCGGGCCGTCTTCAAAATGTGGTTCTCGCCTTAGCGCCGCGAGCACCCGTTTCAAGAATTTGCAAGAGTTTCACGGATTGAGGGCTGCTCGTTCTCAAAATGTGGCTCTCGTCATTAGCGCCGCGAACATTCGTTTTCAAACGTTGCAAGAGTTTGACGGATTCCCATGGTCAGCGAAAAATAGTGTTGGGGAAGGGCTTAGGACTGTGAAGGCGCAACAGTTACGTTAATTCGCGGTATTAAAATCCCAGGAATGACGTTCTGGCACGATTCAGGATCGTCAAGACGCAACAATCAGGTTAATCCGTGGCGTTGGTATCCCGAGAATGGTGTTTTGGCACGCTTGAGGGTCTTCAAACGGTTATCTCCCAAAGAGGCAGCTCCCAGTAAAAACAAACCCGTGCACGAACCTATAACGAGGGAGCTTGGAAGGAGGGTTTATTCCAACATCGTTGATAAGCCTTGGATTTACATTGGTCCTCCTACTCCTCCTCCTCCTCTTCCTCCTCCTCCTCCTGCTTATCCTCCTCCTCCTGCTCCTCCTCCTCCTCCTCCTCCTACTCTTCCTCCTCCCTCCTCCTCCTCCTCTTCCTCCTCCTCCTCCTCCTACTCCTCCTCCTCCTCCCCTCCTCCTCGTCCTCCTCCTCCCGTCCTCCTCCTCCTCGTCCTCCTCCTCCTCTCCCCTCCTCTCTTCCTTGTTCTCCTCCTCCTCCTCCGCCTCCTCCGCCTCCTCCTCTTCCTTTTCTTCCTCCTCCTCCCCCTCCTCGTCCTATATTTGCCTCGTTTTCTCCGCGTGCCAACCAGTTCGGCACACCCTCACACGCTTTGTGGCCCCATAGGGAGCTCCACCGAAGATCCTGGGAGCTCCGCCCGCATCCGTCCGACCCACTCATTTCGGCACACCCCATCACGAGAATCGTCACCCACCAGGACCGTGACCCCATAGGGAGCTCCACCGAAGGTCCTGGGGGCGCCGCCCGCATGCGTCTGACCCGCTCATTTCGGCACACCCCTCACAAGGATCGTGGCACCGTAGGAAGCTCCACCGAAGATCCCTCGGGCGCCGCCCGCATGCGTCCGACCCACCGATGTCGGCACAGTGCTCACGAGTTTTGTGGCCTCATAAGGGTGCTCCACCGAAGGTCCTGGGGGCGCCGCCCACGTACGTCCGATCCACCCAGTCGGGCACACCCGTCACAATGACCACAGCCACACCTGGAGCTCCACCGAAGGTCCCAGGGGCGCAGCATGCGTCCGACCCATCAATTTCGGCACACCTCTTGCACGCTTCGTGGCCCCATAGGGAGCCCTACCAAAGGTCTCAGTGGCGCCGCACGCATGCGTCCCCGCCACCCATTGCGGAACACCCCTCAAACGTCTGCCCCACAAGGAGCCCTACCGAAGGTCTCAGTGGCGCCGCCCGCATGCGTCCCCGCCACCCATGTCGGCACGCCTCATCACGCGCTTCGTGGCCCTATAAGGAGCTTCACCCAAAGTCCTGGGCACGCCGCCCGCACGCAACCCCGCCACACATGTCGGCACACCCCTCACACGCATCGTGGCCCGCAGGGGGCTTTACCGAAGGTCCTAGGGGAGCCGCCCGCACGCAACCCCGCCATCCATACTGGCACACCCCTCACACGTGTCGTGACCCTATGGGTGAACCCACCCAAGGTCCACATGGTGCCGACTTCACGCGCCCCCGCCACACATTTCGGCACACGAGCCCCACCCAAGGCTCTATTGGTGCCGCCCGCATTCGTCCCCGCCACAGATTTCGGCACACCCCTCACACGGTTCGTGGCTCCATAGGGAGCTCCACCCAAGGCCCCACGTGGTACCGCCCGCATGCGTGCCCGCCACAATTTTCAGCACACCCCTCACTGAGATCACGGCCCCATGGGGGGCCTCATCCAAGGCCCAAATGGTGTGGCCCGCCGCGTGCGCCCCCGCCACACGCTTCGTGGCCCCATCACGAGCTCTACACAAGGCCCCACGTGGTGCCGCCGGCATGCGCCCACCAAGCTTGGCAAACCCCTCACAAGCTTCGTGGCCTCATAGGAAGCTCCACCCACCCCCAAATGGTGCCGACCGCATGCATCCCCGCCACCCATTTCGGCTCACCCCTCACACGGTTCGTGGCCCCATCACGAGCTCCACACAAGGCCCCACGTGGTGCCGACCGCACGCGTCCCGCCACCAATTTCGGCGCACCCCTTACACGTTTCGTGGCCCCATGGGGAGCTCCACCAAAGGCCCGATTTGTGCCGACCGCACGCGCCCCCGCAACACATTTCGATATACCCTCGCACGCTTCGTGGCCCTATAAGGGGCTCCACCCAAGTCTCAGGTGGTACCGCCCGTACGCGCCCCCGCCACACATGTCGGCACACCACTCACACGTTTCGTGGCCCCGTAAAGAGCTCCACCCAATGCCCAAATGGTGCCGCCCGCATACGCCCCTGGCACCGATTGCGGCACACACACACACACACACCACACGTTTCGTGGCCCTACTAGGAAGCTCCACCCAATGCCCAAATGGTTCCGCCCGCATGCGCCCCCGCCAGCGATTTCGGCACACCCTTCATACACTTCGTGGCCGCACAAGGAGCTTCACAGACGGCCGAAATGGTGCCGTCCGCACGCGTCCCTGCCACCCACCCATTTCGGCACACCCCTGACACGTTTCGCGGCCCCACAGGGAGCTCCACCGATGACACCACTCACAATTGCGTCACCCACAACTGCAAATGGTTGAGTCCTTCGCCAAGCTAATTTTCGCGCCGACGGATCGTCGGGTACTTTGAGTCCTCTTTAGGCTGTATTGAGCTCTTACTGTTGATGTCGATGTCTACGGAAGTACTCTTTAAGCTCCTCGAATGTCGATTTCTGCCTTACTTTGCCGTCGCTGTTTCCGCCACACCTCCGCGGAGTTGCCCGCCCTACTACTCTAAGGCGGAAACTTCCGCCCTACTCGTTCAAGTCGTATGGGGTGCATCTCCGACACAGTTCTGAGCCGGATAATCAGACGAAGCACGGCAGATCCGAAGCCAGGGAAGGTCGACCTGGGCCCGCGCTGGCGTGCAGGCGGAGAGGAGGCGCCCGCAC